TATCGTGACAAGGAGCGGCCTCGCCGCATCTCTCGCACCCCCACTCCTCCCCACCGCCCATTTTGCTCCCCCTACACCTCCTCCTTCTCTGAGCAGGCCGACCTCCAACACCGGCCTCCAGGCAAGCCTTGAACTCAAGTAAAAGGCGGCGCCCCAAAAGCTCCCAACCGCCCGGGTAGTAAAAACAAAGGGTCGGCGGATGTGGCGTAAGCCTTTCGAGATCTTGGGCGCATCCTCTCCCTGGGCACACATCGAACCTGGCGGGCAGCGACGTCGGCGCGGTGCGAGCCGCCGTCTGCGTAGCCGCCGCCCCCTCGGGCCCAGCCTCGGGCTTCTTCAGCTGCACGAGCGCGGCGTGTTCGCTCTCGCCCGTGGCCTCGCACGCCTGGTGGCCTGTGGGCTCGTCGGAGGTCGCTCCCCGACCCAGGAAGATTAGCAGCGGAACCACGGCGACGACCCTCGTGAACGGCATCGGGGCAAGCGGCGCAGCAAGCAACGCGGCGCGGCGCGGCGCGATGGGCGTCGGAAGTGGCTCGAGCTCGAGCCAAAATTGCTATGGATGTTGTTGTTGCTGCTGCTGCTGTTGTTGTTGCTGCTGCTGTTGTTGTTGATGTTGTTGATGATGTTGATGTTGATGTTGATGTTGATGTCGATGATGTTGTTGTTGTTGTTGCTGATGTTGTTGTTTGGTGTTTTTTTTGTTTGTTGCTTGTTGCGTGTTGTTTGTTATTTGTTGTTTGGTGGTTGGTGTTTGTTGTTTGTTGTTTGTTGTTTGTTGTTTGTTGTTGTTGTTGTTTGTTGTTGCTGTTGTTGTCGTTGTTGGTGTTTGCTGTTGTTGTTGTTGTCGGTGGTGTTGTTGTTGCTGTTGCTGTTGCTGTTGTTATTGTTATTGTTATTGTTGTTGTTGTTGTTGAACATTATTAATTCTAAAGAATAATTATTGTTGGGACCCCTGGTGCACGGCCCCCCTGCGCCGCCTAGGCCGCAGCTACATTTTCATCACTTTCGTGAGGAAGCCTCAGGTAATACGATGTCATCAAGATCCGGTTGTTTTGTTGTAATCCGCTTTCCCTTGCAAAAAACACTATAAAATGACATTTCTTGTTCTAATATAATCAAATTTCAAGAATCCCTTGCAAAAAATAAGGTAAAGTGGACATTCGCGCGCGCAAGACGAAATCCTTCCAAAAGCTTAGTGTTCGGAAGCGATTTTAACATAAAAACATCAAAAAACCAATGGTTTTTCAACAAAAAAATGTCAAAATCTCATCCCGCGCGCTCTTGCGGATTCGTAGGAAACCCAACACTTTTTTAAACATTTCTGTCAAACGGGCTTTTGCGAGCAACTTTTTCGAACTTCTGCGACAACGGTTGCGCACCTGCCAGGGCCATCATCCCTGTCAAATAATACCATGCGGGACACATTCGTTTTTTCTTCGCGCGCGCACGCCGAAATCTCCAAAAACCATTGGGCTTCTTAAGAATTCTAGCACCGCGCATCATAAAATCACACGAATCGCACCGTAGGTCCTCGAAAAACACCTGCACGACTTTTCAAAATTTCTACCCGCGCGCGCTGTCCGAATCCTAAAAAAACCAATGGTTTTCCAACATTTATGTTGCATGAGCTCGCGCGAGCTACTTAACAACTTCTGTGGGTGTACGAACGTAGGCTTAACAACTTCTGTGGGTGTGTACTCCACGCCAGTGTAGTAGTCACGGTCGTCCGCAGGCCACGAAGTGAAGTGTCCGAACGTCATAGGGCGGGAAGCTGGGTGTGGGTGGTGGCGAAGAGTCGTGTGGATATTTGGTAGAGCTTGCACTGCCCCCCCACAAAGTGGGGGTATTGGCTGGCGTCGCATGAAAACCCTGGCACTGGTGAGAACACTGAGCGTTCGGGTAAAGTGATTGTTGTTGTTGTTGTTGTTTGTTGTCGTCGTCGTCGTCGCCCCCCCCCGCGACCTACTGGGCGCTGGGGGGGCGCTGCTGGGGGGGCCAGCGCAGTGTCGCTATACTCAGATTCTTACCAAACCTCGCCATCCCAGGAGGGTTGCGATCTGCGAAACAGTCGCCAGTTTCGGGGTCAACGGAGTGACGTCCTGCGCAGATTCAGAGTAGACCTCACCATCCCTGGGGGGCGGCGATCAGCGAAACGGTCGTCACTTCCGAGGGCTGCCGGGGGGGCCAGCACAATGACGACATATTCAGATTCACATTATACATCGCCATCCCGGGGGGGGGGGGGCGATCTGCAAAGCTGTCGCCACTTTCGAAGGCCGCTCGGGGGAAGCACAGTGACGCCATACCAGATAAAAATGATCCCGGCAAAGCAACCGAACAGCGATGTGTATAAGCATATCTGGAAGCATTCCCCTTCAGATTCAGGTGAGAATCCAGTTGTAGGATTCTGCTGTTCTCGCAGTCGCAGTCGCATTCGCAATGACAGTCGCAGTGGCAACGGCCTTAGGATCCAATGGAATCCTAAGGATTCCTGGGGATTCCTAAAGTATCCTTAGGCATCCTTAGGAATCCATAGGAATCCTCAGGAAACCTTAGGAATCCTTAGGAATCTGGATTCCTAGGGATTCCTAAGGATTCCTACCTGAGCCTGCATCGGCCTCAGCCTCAGCCTGCCTCAGCCTCAGCCTGCCTCAGCCTCAGCCTCAGCCTGTCTCAGCCTCAGCCTGCCTCGGCATCAGCCTCAGCCTCAGCCTGCCTCGGCTTGCCTCGGCCTCAGCCTCAGCCTGCCTCGGCCTCAGCCTCAGCCTGCCCTCAGCCTCAGGCCTGCTCAGACTCCAGGACGCATCAGCCTAGCTTCAGCCCTGCCTCAGGCCGCAGCTTGCCTCAGCCTCAGCCTCAGCCTCAACCTTCAGCCTGGCCTCACGCGCAGCCTCAGCCTCAGCCTGCCTCGGCGCTGCCTCAGCCTCAGCCTGCCTCGGCCTCAGCCTCAGCCTCAGCCTGCCTCAGCCTCAGCGCAGCCTCTCAGCCTCAGCCTGAGTCAGGCCTAGCCTCAGCCTAGCCTCAGTATCAGCTTGCCCAGCCTCAGCCTGCCTCAGCCTCAGCCTCAGCCTGCCGCGGCCTCCGCCGAGCGTCAGCATCAGCCTCAGCGTACTCAGCCTCAGCCGCCTTCAGCCTCAGCCTCAGGCCTGCCTCGGCGTTGCCTAGCCTCAGCCTCAAACTGCCTCAGCCTCAAACTGCCTCAGCCTCAGCCTCAGCCTGCCTCAGCCTCAGCCTGCCTCAGCCTCAGCCTCAGCCTCAGCCTGCCTCAGCATCAGCCTGCCTCAGCCTCAGCATCAGCCTGCCTCGGCCTCAGCCTCAGCCTGCTTCAGCCTCAGCCTCAGTCTGCCTTCAGCCTCGGCCTCAGCCTCAGCCAGCCTCAGCCTCAGCCTGCATCAGCCTCAGCCTCAGCCTCAGCCTGCCTCAGCCTCAGCCTCAGCCTGCCTCGGCCTCAGCCTCAGCCTGCTTCAGCCTCAGCCTCAGTCTGCCTTCAGCCTCGGCCTCAGCCTCAGCCTGCCTCAGCCTCGTCGCGTCTGCCTTCAGCGTCAGCCTGCCCTCAGCCTCGTTCCAGCCTGCCAGCCTCAGCCTGCTCAGGCCTCAGCCTCAGCCTGCCTCAGCCTCAGCCTCCAGCCTGCATCGGCGTGCATCAGCCTCAGCCTCAGGCCTCCCGGCCTCAGCCTCAGCCTGCCTCAGCCTCAGCCTGCATCAGCCTCAGCCTCAGCCTCAGCCTGCCTCAGCATCAGCCTGCCTCAGCCTCAGCCTCAGCCTGCCTCAGCCTCAGCCTCAGCCTGCTTCAGCCTCAGCCTCAGTCTGCCTTCAGCCTCGGCCTCAGCCTAAGCCTGCCTCAGCCTCACCCTGCCTCAGCCTCAGCCTCAGCCTCAGCCTGCCTCAGCCTCAGCCTGCCTCAGCCTCAGCCTCAGCCTGCCTCAGCCTCAGCCTCAGTCTGCCTTCAGCCTCGGCCTCAGCCTCAGCCTGCCTCAGCCTCAGCCTGCCTCAGCCTCAGCCTCAGCCTCAGCCTGCCTCAGCCTCAGCATGCCTCAGCCTCAGCCTCAGCCTGCCTCTGCCTCAGCCTCAGCCTGCTTCAGCCTCAGCCTCAGTCTGCCTTCAGCCTCGGCCTCAGCCTCAGCCTGCCTCAGCCTCAGCCTGCATCAGCCTCAGCCTCAGCCTTCAGCCTGCCTCAGCATCAGCCGCGCACTTGCTGGCCTCAGCCCTCTTCGGCCTCCAGCCTTGCCTCGGCTACGGGTGCCCGGCCCCGGGTCCGGGTGGTATTCAAAATATGGCACAGGCTCCCAGACAAGCTGCTGGCCTGGCGCGGGGACTCCTGCTGCCCGGAGCGGGAGTCATCCTGGCCTGCCCGGGAGTCAGCCTGCTCCTCACTCGTGTTCCTGCTCTGACTCCCGACGACAGCGCAAGCACAAAAGCTATCAATTGTTCTATTGCAGCGGCAATTGAAGTACTACGATAAAGTGGCGAGGTCTCCTTCGACGGCATTTCCAAAGACAGTGGTACCTGAGTCAATTGAGCAGGGGCCCGCGCTTGAGTTTGTCCCCTGGAAGTGGAAAGGCATCCTTCGCAAAAGAGGACGACCACGATTACACTGGACAACTTACATGCACGCCTGGGCTCTGAGCGCAGCGGGGAACGGTTCGGAACGTTGACAGGATTTGCTGCAGTCCGCGCAGTGGGACGCAGCAGTCGATCAGTACACGCAGACATTATGAATATGTTTGCCTTATGTGCCTTTTCCTTCCCCTCCCTCCCTCCCTCCTTCCCTCCCTCCGCCCCTCCCCCGGAATGCTGCGCAGGTTTCCCTCGCACTTCGTTGGCGCAATGGAGGCAACGATTTCATCGAGGCACTGTGCAGCTGATAGTTTGCATGTTCGTGCACGCCTCCCCACATGTGTATATTCCGGATTGCCGAATCGTTTGCCGATGCGCCGTCTAAGCGCGGCCTTTTCCAGTCCAGCCCAGTCTCAGAAGGTCTCGCATGCTTCCCCGATTAGGGAAAAACGCCTGGCGGGGAGCTGACCAGGTCTTCAAAACTGGTGAGAGTTTAACCGATAACTCTCAGAAGGTCTCGCATGCTTCCCCGATTGCAGAAAAAAACGCCTGGCGGGGAGCTGACCAGGTCTTCATGCGGAAGGAGGAGCGGCTCACTTTGGAGGCCCGCCCTCGGTCCGAAGGCTGGTCACGAGCACATGCATCTCGGATTAGGAAAAAACAAACCGCCGACCCCTTGTGGGTCTCTAGGCGTGTGAGATCGTTCCCCCCCATAGCCCCCCCCCGGGACCCCAAACCGGCAATTTGACCCCCCCCCCTCGTCGGACCCGACCCACCCTCGAACTCATCAGGGGGGGGGGGCTGGCTCCCCAGGCTCGCTGTGTAGCTCCAAGACAGCCCGTCGAGGCCCCCAAAACACACCCAAGACTGTCCAAGAGAGCGCAGAGTCTCCGAATGATCGCTCCAACACGCCCAAGATGTGCCCAGGACGGCCCAAGAAGCCGCCAAGACACCCCAGGACGCCTCCAGGAGGTCTCTCAGGAAACCCCCCACGACGCCCAAATCGTCAATTTCCATCGGGAAAACGTACATGCTTAACATATGCGATTTTTCGGCCGTCACGGCGTTGACGACAGTCCAAAGAGGCCCCCAAAACCGCCCCACGTCGGCCCAAGAGGCTCCCAAAAAGTCTTCAAAACAACCCCAAAAGGGTTCCGAAACGGGCCAAAACGCCCGCGATCTGCTCCAAAACAGCCCTTGTCGAGGCCCCCAAAACACCCCCAAAACGGTCCAAGAGAGCACAAAGTCTCCGAATGATCGCTCCAACACGCACGAGATGGGCCCAGGACGGCCCAAGAAGCCGCCAAGACGCCCCAGGACGCCTCCAGGAGGAGTTTCAAAAACCCCCACGATGCCCAAATCGTCAATTTCCATTTGGAATACGTGCATTTTGAACATGTGCGACTTCTCGGCCTTCGCAGCCTTGACGACAAACCAAGAGGCCCCCAAGACCGCTCCACGACGGCCAAGAGGCCCCAAAGGGCCGCCAAGACAGCCCAACAGGGTTCCGAAACGGCCCAAAACGCCCCCAAAACTGCAGAAGAGTGCCCCAAAACGGTTCGAACAGGGGCCCATGAGGGGGACCTCGGACCCATAATTCCAACGTTCCGCCCGAAGAGGCTCCCAGGAACCCCAAAGATGCACCCCAATAGACCCCAAAAGGCCCCCAACAGGCACCAAAAAACCACAGGATGCCCCAAATAATATCAAATGAAACCCCAAAACGACTTCAACTGCCTTCCAATCTGCCTCCAAAGAACTCGCGAAAACAGGGCCCCAACGACATCCCAACGGAGTCCAGCTGCAGCGGCGGTGTCGCCCCAAGACGCCCGATCCATCGCCTCTATTTCCACGTCTCTCCCCTGGCCCCCAAACCGTAACGTCGTCCGACTCCCTTCAGAACACATACGCGTTCAGCATGTACGACTCATGTCCCCCCCCTGGCCCCAAAACCGAACCATCGTCCAACTCCCTACCTCCTCCTCCTCCTCCTCCTCCTCCTCCTCCTCCTCCTCCTCCTCCTCCTCCTTTTCCCGCTCCATCTTCTTTTTTCACCCCCCAAGAAAAAACATAACGATTCCCGACGCCTCATTGGGTCAGCGGCGACTGCCACGCTCACCAAGAAGGCCCCGGGGTTGTCCAGACAACGAGCATCAGATAAGGTGCCCATCGGGCCCTCTGGCTGGGTCAGCGGCGACCGCCACGCTCGCCAGCCATAGCTTTCCAGACACAGGGGGCTCGGGAACCGACTCCGGATTCATCGTGAGAGCCAGAGCGATTCCCGACGCCTCATTGGGTCAGCGGCGAGTGCCACGCCCACCAATGAGGCCCGAGGGTTGTTGAGATCACGCGCAGAAGATACGGCGCCCGTCGGGCCCTCTGGCTGGGTCAGCGGCGACCGCCACGCTCGCCAGCCAGAGGTTTCCAGACACAGAGGGCTCGGGAAACGACTCTGGATTCATCGTAAGAGACAGAACGATTCCCGACGCCTCATTGGGTCAGTGGCGAGTGCCACGCTCACCAACGAGGACCCAGGGCTGTCGAGATCAAACGCAGCAGATACGGCGCCCGTCGGGCCCTCTGGCTGGGTCAGCGGCGACCGCCACGCTCGCCAGCCAGAGGATTTCAGACACAGACGGCTCGGGGAACGAGACTGGATTGATCGACGGAGACAGCACGATTCCCGACACCTAATTGGGTCAGTGGCGACTGCAACGCTCACCAATGAGACCCCGATGTTGCCGTGGCCACACCCGTCAGATAGGTGCCCATCGGGCCCTCTGGCTGGGTCAGCGGCGACCGCCACGCTCGCCAGCCAGAAGATTCTGGACACAGAAAACTCGGAAACGAGACTCGATGGATTGACGGAGACAGAACGGTTCCCGACACCTCCTTGGGTCAGTGGCGAGTGCCACGCTCACCAATGAGGCCGTGGGGTTGTCGAGACCACACGCATCACATATGGTGCCCATCGGGCCCGCTGGCTGGGTCAGACAGCCACGCTCGCCAGCCAGGAAATTCTGGACGCAGAAAACTCGGGTAACGGGACGTTGGTGATCCACGGGAAAAGCTCCTACGAAAACTACTACTACAACTACTACTACCAGTACTACTACTACTACTACTACTACTACTACTACTACTACTCCTACTCCTACTCCTACTCC